GCAAAGATGTCTGCCTCCATGGCTGCGAGACCCGCTCCTATGTAATTATAAATAACGAATTCTAAGGCAACGCAAATATTAAGGTTATATTACATTTCTGACTGTATATCCCTGTAATTATTACACACTGTAGCTTTAATTAACTGGATGATGATGTCGTTTTTGTTGTATTTCTTATTTGAAAAAGTTATGTGCTGAAATATATGGCATGATTTTTTTGAAAAAAAAAACCAAAAAAAACATCAAACATTTTTAAAGGCTAATGCACAGATACAGCATAAATTATATGTCATCATGCATGAACAATTTCCAAACAGACATGTGCTTGTAATTTAGTCTTGATGTAAAATTTTGAAATTCTATGTAATATGTTAAAACAACAATGTCATCAATACATGTACCATAAATCCTCTAATATTGGCCTGCATTCCATCAGCAGTCGGTCTCTAATAATGGCCAGACTCTTCTACAGGCTGTAATTAGAACCAAGGATGTTTCTGGTCAGTCCTCAGCAACTTGTGATAGTAACATACAAGTACCACAGGGGGGCAGTGTTTGCTAACGAATCCAAGCCATTAGAATGGGAAGTCCCATCCTTACACAATCGTTCTGATCTGAAAGACACATGTGATTACTGGTAGGTCTGGTGGTAAAATGACAGAATTTCGTTGGCCTTCGTTGTTCTCAATTTCCCTTGAAATATACGATACTATTAGCCTACTTCCACTTAGCCTGCCTCAAATAAAATTTGGCTGTGATGAACCGTTTCCATCACCTTTTTTTTTTCCATTCTGTGCCTTTGTTTTTTTTTTTTTCGTATTGCCGTGCAGAAAAATTGCAGCTGCTGGAAGATGTCTGAATAATGTTCCGTATATCGTTACGGTAACTGTACTTTTTCAATAAATTATCCTAGTATTTTATAGCTTCAAAGAGACACAAAATCTGTTTTTTATTTATTCCACTGGTCGTCTGTTTTGATCAAATAGAAATAAAAGCCTGCATCTAATTCTGGCCTCCTTCCAATAATGGCCTGGACCAAGATGTGAAATAAAGGCCCCGCCCTATATTAGAGGATTTACGGTATAATACATGTACATCATCATATTTTTGGAGCTATTGGTCCCAATTTTCTCTAATACACATTTGTGATTCATACATGCACAGTACAAGCTCAACACACTCACAGCACGATTCGTGCAAACATACAAGATCCACACATGCACAGCACCTGATTCTCCAAGTATTTATGGTCTATAAACAATCAGAAATTAAATGAAAAAGTATCAGTGCTCTTTTAAACTTCAGTGCATTCGTGTGTGGATTTTTGAGACTTCTGATTTGCCTAGATACACAAATGCATTTTTTTTAAACGGGATGGTTTGCAAACAATCACAGAGCTCCCTTGTATAAGCCAATCACAAGAACGTAATCCACGTGGGATGACTATTTGCTCCGCTGTGGTCTGGTTTTCCTGTCAGTACAGCATACCCCATCAGGCCAGCATACCCTTAGTAATAGGCATTACATAGTTTCCTCTGTCTCCGCTCTCCTTACAGCCAAGAATGCCGTTTTATTTCGAGATTTAGTCAGGTTTTTGTCGTAGTTTGTGCATAAAATAACAAAAAAATCATTCGCTAGGTCCGTTACACACATTAGATGAGGATAAAGAAATAAAGAATGATCGGCATTATTTCACAGAGAATTCAATATTTAAAGGGAGAATGTGCAGAATCGTACCTTAGAAAAGTTTAATCTACTTATTTAGCAAAAACGAAACATAAAAATAAATAAATAAAACCCAAAAAAGGTGCGGTAAGCTAATCCGACATTCTGCTCCCAATAGAAACGTTATTATGAAATAATACGATGCAGAGTCAATGCCCTGAATCTAAAAAATAAAAATATATACAAAATTAGGCCCCGTCCACACGCAGTCAAACCCTGGCCTAAACGCACACATTTTTCACCAAACCAGCCTCTCATCCATACGAAGCCGGCGTTTTGGGGGTCTGTAAACGATCTTTTTTTTATTCAGCCTTCAGAGTGGGAAGATT